TTTTTTTTTTTTTTTTTTAAGGTTGAAGTTGTCTCTAGGATGTTCTTTGTGGCTGTAGTGATCATTCTTTGCACTCTCTCCTTTTCTTTTAGCTTCATTAAATTTTAAGGGGGAAGCCCAGTTTTACTGCCTTAGGAGTAAGTTTTTTCTTACTAAAAAAATTGAAGAAAACATAATGATGAAAAGATTGTAAAAGAGAAGAAATATTTATTGCAATTATCTGTCATACTGTTTGAAGAAACTGTCAAAGATTTCTAAGTTGTGTGAGTTGTATGTATAAGTTAAATTAATTTTTTATATTAATTTTATTTACTTTTGTGCTCGCTTCGGCAGCACATATACTAAAATTTTATTTACTTTTGAGTGATACATACGTACATACATCAATTTTTTTTTAATGCTAATTTATTTTTGAGAGAGAGCGAGCACAAGTGGGGCAGGGACAGAGAGAGAGAGAGGGAGACACAGAATCTAAAGCAGGCTCCAAGCTCTGAGCTGTCAGATGTTTAACGGACTGAGCTACCCAGGTGCCCCGAGTGATACATACTTGTAATGCAGTCTGCTGGAAAATCCGTTGGAGTAGAAGTTGGATTGCAATGTTAGATAATACTCGAATAACTAGGAAATGAAATGCAGATACCAAATGGTGGATTCTTTAAAAGCATTTCACCTTGGGGCACCTGGGTGGCTCAGTCGGCTAAGCGTCCGACTTCGGCTCAGGTCATGGTCTCATGATTCGTGAGTTCCAGCCCCGCATCGGGCTTTGGGCTGACAGCTCAGAGCCTGGAGCCTGCTTTGGATTCTGTGTCTCCCTCTCTCTCTGCCCTTACTTTACACGCGTGCTCATTCTCTCTCTCTCTCTCTCTCTCTCAAAAATAAACATTAAAAAAAAACTTTTTAAATAAATGAAAGTAATTTTGAAAAAAAATAAATGCATTTCACCTTTAAATGCTTCTTTATTTTTTTTTAATGTTTTTATTTATTTTTGAGACAGAGAGAGACAGAGCATGAGCAGGGGAGGGGCAGAGAGAGAGGGAGACACAGAATCCTTATCAGCCTCCAGGCTCTGAGCTGTCAACACGGAGCCCACGCGGGGCTCAAACTCACGGAGTGTGAGATCATGACCTGAGCTGAACTGGGATGCTCAACCGATTGAGCCACCCAGGCGCCCCATTAAATTCTTCTTTAAAAGCATTTCACCAAGAGTGAAATGATATAAATGCAATATAGGAAGACACTGTATAAAGTGATTCTGGGGGTCTCCAATGAGAAGGCTGCAGGTTAAGGAAATGGAAAGCAAGGGTGGAAGGAATCCTTGGAGAGCCTTCGAGACTTCTTATTTGTTGTTATTAACACAGAGGAAACAATGATAAGCCATAATTGCTGGTCATACTAGATAAATAGTGTAAATGTCATTACACATATAAATTAATAGTATAACTAATCCTTGGTACCCCTGATAACAAGATAGCCTTTTCTGATGCCTCTTCTCTCTCTCCCTCTGTCCCCCACCCCCAAAATACTGGTTCTGTTCCGCAGTTTCGCACCGTATTTACAGTCGTTTTCTACTAAATGAGCGGTGTAGCCTCTGTACTCTATGCTAGCTCCGGCTGGAGGTCTTGAAGAGAACTCCAGGCTGGACTCAAGGCCGCGTGTGGACACGTCGTCCCCGGCATTTCCAAAGTCTGAGTAGGTTTAGGTGTGCCACGGCCACCGAAATTTCCAGCGTGCTGCGTTTCAGCTATGCAGCTTCCTTTACTGCGGACGCCTTCCGAGACGCCCGCGTGCTCACGCGTCCTGTGAGGCTCCTCCAGAGGGATGACGCTGTGCTGTCGTGGTCAGAACGCATATAATTGTAGAAACGTCAGCCCTTTTTCAAATGGGAACTTAGGACGATGCCGAATAACTGTTTCCTTTGAGTCGTTTTTTAGCACGTGCCGCTCAGAATTGAAGCTGGAGATGAGGGGCCTCTCCCAAAGACTAGTTAACAGGGGCTCCGCTGACCCACGCGAGCAAGATCTAATTCCGCGTGTGTTTCATCTTTTGCAGATCTCAGTCACGGCGGATCGGCAGATCACTATGACAGTTCCCACCGGGGACAGCAGCCCACGCACAGAAGCGAAGCCAGCTGCAGCTGGGACCAAGTGATCACAGACAGGACCGACAAGGAGGCGTGGCCTTCCATCACAGGAACAGAGACTGAGTCTGCCTCAGAATGCACTACGGACACTGACTCTGCCTCCAACTGTGGCTCGGAGAACAGTAGCATGGCTACGGGGAGTGCCCAGGGCGCCTTCACCGGACACACCAAGAAGACGAACGGCGGCAATGGCACCAACGGGGTGCCCGTCCAGAGCCCTTCTAACCAGAGTGCCCTGGGAGCAGGGGGCGCCAGCGGGAACGGGAACGCGGCCCGAGTGTGGGGCGTAGCCGCTGGCCCCAGCTCGGGCCCAGCTCACTGCCCCCTCGGCGGCGGGGATGGGAAAATGGACAGCGTGGTCGGAGACGGGAGAAGCCAGAGTTGCTGGGGTGCTTCCAACTCCAATGCCGGCATTAATCTTAACCTGAACCCTAACGCCAACCCAGCTGCCTGGCCCGTACTCGGACACGAAGGAACTGTGGCGACAGGCAACCCTTCCAGTATTTGCAGTCCGGTCAGTGCCATAGGTCAAAACGCGGGCAACCAGAACGGGAACCCGCCGGGCACTTTAGGTGCTTGGGGAAGCCTGCTGCCGCCGGAGAGCACAGAACCACAAACGTCCGCTTCTCAGAATGTGTCTTTCAGCGTACAACCTCAGAACCTTAACACTGATGGACCAAATAACACTAACCCCATGAACTCTTCGCCAAACCCTGTCAATGCAATGCAGACGAACGGACTGCCAAACTGGGGCATGGCCGTCGGCATGGGGGCCATCATCCCACCCCACCTGCAAGGCCTTCCTGGTGCTAACGGATCCTCGGTCTCTCAAGTCGGAGGGAGCGGCGGCGAAGGACTCGGCGGTTCCGTGTGGGGCCTGTCCCCGGGTAACCCTGCCGCGGGAAGCAGCAGCTCTGGCTTCAGTCAGGGGAATGGAGACACTGTGAACTCGGCGTTGAGTGCTAAACAGAACGGATCCAGCAGTGCGGCGCAGAAGGAAGGAAGTGGCGGTAACGCCTGGGACTCGGGCCCTCCTGCCGGCCCCGGGCTCCTCGCCTGGGGACGGGGCGGCGGCGGCAACAGCAGCGGCGTCGGTCACATCCATTCGGGGGCTTGGGGCCACCCCACCCGAAGCGCCTCTAACGGTGTGAATGGGGAGTGGGGGAAGCCCCCAAACCAGCATTCCAACGGCGACGGCAACGGGAAAGGATCGACAGGGTGGGACGGTCCGAGCGTCAGCGGCCAGAATGCTGCCGTGCAGCCCGGCAGCGAGCACGTGAACTCTTGGGCCAAAGCTGCGTCTTCTGGAACCACGGCAAGCGAAGGAAGTAGCGACAGTTCCGGCAGTCACCACGAAGGGGGCTCCGGGAGGGAAGGAGCAGAAGGCCGGAGGCGAGAGAAAGGGATCCTAGACCAAGGGCATATCCAGTTGCCAAGGAACGATCTGGACCCAAGAGTCTTGTCTAATACTGGTTGGGGACAGACTCCCGTAAAGCAAAACACTGCCTGGGAATTTGAGGAGTCCCCTAGGTCTGAGAGGAAAAATGACAACGGGACAGAGGCCTGGGGCTGTGCGGCTCCTCAGCCTTCACACTCAGGGGCGAAGAGTGATGGGTCCATCGTGAGCAGTACAAATACCTCTGCAGTATCCGGGTGGGTCAGCTCACCGCCTGCTGCTGCGCCGGCGAGCACAGGGTGGGGGGACGGCAGCAACAAAGCGCCAAATGGCCCGGGGGTCTGGGGGGACTCGATAAGCTCTACTGCTGTTAATAATGCTGCTGCTGCTGCTGTCGCCAAGAGCGGCCACGCTTGGAGTGGGACCGGAAACCAGGAGGACAAGTCGCCCACCTGGGGGGAGCCCCAGAAGCCCAAATCTCAAACCTGGGGAGACGGACAAAAATCCAATCCGGCCTGGAGCGCTGGAGGGGGAGATTGGGCGGACTCGTCTTCCGTCCTCGGACACTTGGGGGACGGGAAAAAAAATGGCTCTGGATGGGATGCCGACAGTAATCGGCCAGGGTCTGGTTGGAACGACGCTACCAGGTCTGGGACCAGTGGCTGGGGTAATGGCACAAACGCAAAGGTGAATCCAGGGACAAACTGGGGAGAGTCTTTAAAACCTGGCCCCCAACAGAACTGGGCGGGCAAACCCCAAGACAGCAATGTGAGTAACTGGGGAGGAGCCGCTTCCGTTAAGCAGACGGGAACCGGGTGGATCGGGGGTCCGGTCCCTGTCAAACAGAAGGACAACAGTGAGGCCACGGGCTGGGAGGAGCCTTCTCCGCCATCCATTCGACGCAAAATGGAAATCGATGATGGTACCTCAGCTTGGGGCGACCCGAGCAACTACAATAATAAAACTGTAAACATGTGGGATAGAAACAACCCGGGCATGCAGAGCAGTACCACGGCCGCCGCCACCACCACCACCACCACCACCACGAGCAGCAGCACGGACGTGGTCGAGACGCCGCCGTCACACCAGGCCGGCGCCCACCTGAGTCGATCGCCGCTGCTCGGTCCAGGTATGGCGGGCCCTTTAGGTGACTCTCGAACTTACGCGAGATCGCTTGTTCCTAGCACGGGTGTGTACGTATCCCCGTGGCGTTTCGAGGTAGCAGAGGACGTTGATTTAAGTGCCCTTCGCCTTGTAGCATCGTACTTAAATATTATCCCCGGAGAATAAATAAAGTAGGATTCTCTGATAGCTTTCTACCCGAGAGAGACAGAGAGGTTCGGCACGTCCAGTGTTAAGGAGAGTAAAGAAGAAATACTCCCCGTTCGGGAAAAGACCGGGGACCGTTGTGTCAGCTGGTGTTTCCTTGCGACAGTCTTCGTTTCCTTACGGGATGAGCCGGTGGTCCTCCAGCCCGGCCTTGGTTAGAAGTGCTTGGGGGCCGGGGGACCAGTCAGCAGCGTCTCTGGTGACGTGGGTCTGCGGGAAGCCCGTTCGCTGGTAGCTTTAGAGCTCCGCGGGCGTTCCTGATGCGTGGTTGCGCTGAGATGAAATCGTGCGTGTAGCGGGAGTGGCGTTATACAATACAAGGCACGTTGTGATTCCAGTCGGAAGAAAAATCCTAAAATTAGACTAAACCTTGGGTTTTGAGTTCCTGCTTTGCGCAAGGCACTCTGCTGGACACTGGCAGATGGGAAGAAGGCCCAGACCAGAATCTTCCCCCCCAGGGAGCGGGAATTGTGGCAGGATGAACACACAGTACTCACCGCATGGGATCCAGATAAGATCCAGCCGGGCTTTGTGACGGGAGCGGGCAGTGGCCCCGCTTTCTAGCCGGGACGTCGGTGCGTGGAGCCTGCCTAAGCAGTGGCCCCTAACCGGGCCCCCGAATCACAGAGTCCCCAGGTACAGAAGAACCAGAAGGAGAGTACAGTCCAAGTCAGGCCCCCCCCCCCCCTGCACGCTCCCCACACAGCTAGAAGCCTCTGTGTCAGGGCCCCCCCACGGTACCAGGGAGGCCCCCTCCCGCCCAGTGCCCTTCTCGCCTGCTGCTCTGGCTGTGTCATGTCTCCTCAGGCGGTGCCATCACCAGCCTCCCTCTGGCTTCTGTAATTGCTCGCGTAGTGCCGTCCTTGGGGACTACCCAGAGCACGGCAGGCCCTCTTGTCCCATATCGCAGAATTTCGAGCGGCAGTGTGGCACATAGTCCTGTTCCGTCTACCCATTCTCCGGGACGTCTTCCTGGCTCCTTAGAGCTCCTCCTCACGGTCATGGTTTTAACTCCTTTTTGTTTGTCCTCTGGATGAGCTGTTAACTGGCGAGGAGGGTCTTTGTGCCCAGAACTGATGTCGTGGGTTTACGCGTGTGGCTCTAACGAGCGAGCGCAGAATCGGGTGAGGCTGTAACCTCCTTCCCTCCTCAGAATCCTACTCCTTGTGATGCGCTCTAAGTTTCCTTTAGCCTTTTGGAGCCGCGTCACACTGTTTTTCTTAAATTCAGCTTAAAGTCTGAAGTACCTCTTTTCGTTACGACTGCTACGAAGCCCTTCCTTGCTCAGGACTGTTCCTTGTGCACTTGGCCCCTTGGTCCCAAGCGTAGAACTTTGCACCCAGTAAACGTTGGATTCCAGTCCCCTAGCCTGTTGAGATCCTATTGTTTCCTGATTCTGTAATCAGCGTATCAGTGATTCCTTCCAGTTTTCTACTGGAATCCCTAAATTTTCGTAAACGTGCCATAAAGACAACACTAAACATAGAGTCCTTTCTTCACGGTCACTCAGTCGGTCACCTTATATGTGGAACAGAATCTGCATCCAAAATCCAACACAAGGGAGTCTGGAAGGTGACATGTTTGAACCGTGAGCCTCATAGAAGGCAGGAGAATGGATGCTGAGTGGCTGTTGACTCTGTCCTGTGCAGAGATGTGGGTTTCAAAAACATCGCTCTGACCACCCAACATCATTGAAACAGATGCGAAGGGAGAACCGTTGGTGCACCCCCACCGCCTGGTACCACGCCCTCACGCCCATCTACACGAGTGCTTCTGGAACTGGTGCCTTTATCCCTTTATTTGACCTACACCCGCTGGAGATACATCGTCGAACACCCTGGCGTGCCAGGCACGTAACGGCGTGGAAGACAGGAGCTCTGCCCTCTTTGAACCTCCACGTGGACCACTTTAGCATGGTGCCCGATAGTCAGGGCCAGCAAAGTATGGCACGTAGGATGGCATCCGACCAGGGTCTGGACCACGAGGGGTCGGGGCTGAGCAGACGTTGGGTAGCAGCGCAGAGGAGTGTTTCGGATGGAGGGGCGAGCGCTTGAGAAGGTCCACGCCGGAGAAGAGGCGGGGTGTGGGAGGAGCAGAAAGAAGTTCACAGGTATCTGGGGTTGGGGCGAGGAGTGGGGTGGCAGGCCTTGCAGAGAAGAGCTGGAGAGGGGCCACGGCAAGATTGGGCCGGGCCTTTCAGGCCTCTGAAGGAGCCAGGTCGTACCCAGGGGTTTCTGAGAGGCCGGTGAGAAGCTTCACAGATTGAATGATCAGACCTCTTTGTAGAATCGTCCCAACCACAAAAATCAGTGGGAAGCAAAGCAGGAGAGGAGGAGCCAGGCTTAGCCAGGGTCTTGATGGTGACGGTGGCCTGGGTTGGGACGGTGGCTGGAAAGCACCATGGAGACAGAGGTGGCAACCGGGCTTGGAAACCGGGTGTGGGAACAAAGAGGAAAGGTGAGCACGGGGGGTTCGGAGCTCTGGCAAGCGGGCCGGTAGGCATGTCCCTCGCTGGCTCACCCAGGAGCACGGCGGGAGACCTCTGTCCCGTGGAGATGTGGCAGAGGCTGGTTGTGGAAGCCGGTCCCAGCCACAGCTTGGGCGGCAGGCACAGTGGGGGGAGAGCGGCAGGAGTCGAGGGCAGGGTCGGGAGCCGAGGTTTTGTTTAAGACGGTAGAACTCAGCTTGTTGTTTGAAGACGGACAGAAAGGAGCCAGTAGAGAGGGAGAGTAAATGCAAAGGGAGGGAGGGGCTCCCTGCATCCAGCCGGGAGGAGGCCCGAGTGTCTGTGGCCAGAGGGTGACAGACGCCTTCCGGGATTCTTTTTCTCTGAGGGTGTCAAGGACCCCGGCCTCAAGTGCAGACGGGGCGGGCAGGAGCAGAGGCAAGGGTCGCATTCGCCCACGTAGGAGACGGAGCAGAGGGCTCAGCAGGGGTCCCCAGAGGGCTGCTGGACAGCGTTTGGGACCCAGAGGTCGGTTTCACAGTAGATGGACGTTCATTTACTCAGCGTGTGTTCGTCAGGATCCACTGTGCGCCGGCTCGCGCTCTGCTTTGGGGGACAGCAGGGAACAGAACAGGTGGAACCCCTGCCCTGGTGGCGGTGTGATCCGGGAAGGAGGGCCGAGGCTCGCGGGTGAGCCAGCGACTGTGCGGGGTGTCGGCGGTGCGGAGGAAGAAGCCGGGCAGGGGCGAGGAGGGCAGAGATCGTCACCTCGGGCAGGGCCGCCGAGCACGTGACTAGCTGTTGGGTCTTCGCTGTAAGCATCCGACAGCTAGAGCGTAAGGAGGGCTGTCTCCCCTTGTGCGGTCAGTTCAGTTCAGTTCAGTTCGCTGCCCTCCAGACCCCTCCCTGCGCCGGTCCACCCGCCAGACGTGGCCTCCGCAGCCTCCTGAGATTCCTTGGCGATTCAGTCTGCTCTGGGCCGCCGTATGGGGAATCCTCTCTGGAGCTCAAGGCTCTTGTAGCCTCTGCCTGCACACACGCCTCCTTCCCCGAACCAAAGGTCAGAAACCCGGTGGGCCGCGGACTGCAACACGTCCACAGAGGTGCCTTCAGCGACCCACGTTTTCGTATGAATCAGCACTTATAACGAAAACGTTTTATATAAAATTCCAGATCTCCGGCCTCTTGAAATCCCAGAAGCTCTGACACGTTGGATTCGGACGGCAGCGGTCAGCTAGAGCGGCTGCCTGGAAGTCCGTGAGCCTCGTCGCTTCCCACCCCGCCCCCCCATGCCCCCCCCCCGCCCCC